AATCTCGAGGTCTTCTGTTGATTTCTTTGTGAAATCTCTGGGAGCACATCAGTAATAGTTCTGAACATATCACATATTAGAAGTTCATTGGATTAGATAAAGGGGAATGAAGGGAAGGGAGAGGGATGGAATAGGAAAGACAGTAAAATGAATTAGATATAACTTTCCTATGTTCATATATGAATATACAACCAGTGAAACTCCTCATCATGAACAACCACAAGAATGGGAAGTTATATTCCATGTATGTATAATATGTCAAAATACATTCTACTGTCATGTATAACTAAAAAGAATAATAAAATAATAAATTCCCAAAAATACTATTTATAGTAACAAGGATAACAGATAATATTTGCTGAGTGCTTATTGTAAGCCAGGTACAGTTCTAAACACATTACATGAAGTAACTCATAATTACACATGAACAACACTATGAGGTAGGTATTAGCTGTATTACTAACCCCATTTTACAGCCGAAGAACACAGACTAAGTTACTAAAGGTCACACAGCCTATGAGGTCTAGGCTGAGTCAAACTTTGCCTATGTGGTTCCAGTTTGTTATCAACCACTAACATCTTCTATAGCTCCAACTAGCTCAAAATGACTCCAGATGAGGGCTCTCAATCCATTTTGAACCTCAGACTGGTAGCATCTGCAATTTGGTCTAGATATTTGAAATGTTTCAGAGTTCTGTAAAGCATCCTAGGAGCTGCTGCTTGGACAAGGTAGGGCAGGACTCAGAAGGCATTTCCATGTGCTTCTGGAAAGTCATAATGTAAGGCTGGGGTTCATAATAAGAATAATAGCTGTGGTATTTCACACAAGATGGGGTGCACTGCTTCTTAAGGTGTGGCCCAAGGAGAGTTTTTAAATTTTTCCTTTTAAAGAGCTTATTTTAGGGACTGGGTTTGTGGCTCAGTGGTGGAGCACTTGCCTAGCATGTGCGAGGCACTGGGTTCGATCCTCAGCACCACATAAAAATAAATAAATAAAATAAAGGTATTGTGCCCATCAACAACTAAAAAAAAAATTAAAAGTTTATTTTAAAAACAAGAAGAAAGCCAAGGTGGCAAGGAGAAAATGAACTGCTTTACTCTCAGAAAAACAGTTTCAAAAAGGCTGGGGGAATGTGTGTGTGTGTGTGTGTATGTACATGTATATAATTTTATAGGTTGTGTTTTGCTCTTTGTGTTTTTAATTAAAAAAACTGGCAGAGATTTAGCTCTCATTATCTCAGGGAGAACTTTCTAAACATGCAGATTCCAGGGCTGAGGCCCAAACCCAGAGACTATATCTCTATGGAGATAGTTGCATTTTGGCCAACTCCCAGACTGAATTAGTTCGAGAACCACTCTCACTTAGTCTTTGAGAAGATATAGGCCTGTTTTCTGATTTCAAGAGTTAACTGACCCAAGCAGGCCTAGGAGTGCTTCCTCCTCCTCCCCCTGCCCAGCAGAGAAGAGGGGCAGCTAGAATTCAGAGAGCAGGCTGAGGGCATGCCTTCACAGAAAGCATAGTTCCTTTCTGCCAGCACGCCCCTCCAAAGAGTGAACTCTATCCCCAAGAGACGGCAAGGAGGGGCAGAGAGAGAAAGCTAAGGAGACTCTTGCCTCAGCACCCTGGGGCTCAGACAATGGAGTCTCCGGAGGGAGGGAGAGAGCAGCAGTGGTTCAGCGCTCACAGGGTCAGGGAGCCACAGTGACAATGGCTATGGTGGTGGCTCCATGTGGACGCCAGCACATCTGCAGGGAGCTTTACAGGGACCAGAGATTCTAGTTTATGTGGGACTCCTTTTTCTTTTGTTAGTGCTGTGAGAGCTGCACCCTTCTGGACCCCACCCTCCCAGAAGTGATTTCATTTTCACCACAAGGGAGTGGGTAGCAAAGCTCAGTCTGTGGCTGGGGAGAGCCAAAGAAAAGACTTCATGAATCTTTAGCAGTGAATCCATTTGTTTAGTTAGCTGTGGGGGATGGAGTGGTTGCAGAATCAGTGGGAGGAAGAGCTTGGGACTGCTCTCTTTGAGTGAGATTGGGAGGAAAAGGTGAAGAGGGCCACTTTAAATGAAGGAGATGATGAGCCCCTGAACCCCTGGTGGCGTTAGACCTGCATTGAGCAGGACCACCTGCTGCTATAAATGGTTCTCAGATGCTGAAGCATATAGCAGAAAACCAGGAATCTTAATCATCGCTGATTCTTGTGAAGCATTTACTTGGCAGTAGGCACTGTGCTGGGCTTTAGATGCATCATTCCGTTTAATCTTTAAAACACTGTATGATAGATCCTAGGATTATGTGTCCATTTCACAGATTAAACTCAGAGAGGTTATGTGATTTGCCCAAGACCACACAGCTAGGAAGTAGCAGAGCCAGAATTTTAACCCAGGTGGTATTATCTGTCCACTAGGCTCCAGAAGGGACCCACATGGAGATTAGGGATGCCTGTGCCTCTGTCTAGGTAACACTTCTTGGCATCTTACAGCTCTTGGTAGACAAGGTATGCCATTGTATCTACTCAGGACAAGGAGAGGGTGGGAGGAGAGTCTCAAATTCTAAGTCCCTATGTGTTCCCCTTCCTTTGACCTCTACCCCTGGGCTGATCATATGCCATGGTGGTGGTACATTAGATCTGTTTGATTTCTTTCTCTTTTTTTTTTTTTTTTTGTGGGGCTGGGGATTGAACCCAGGGTTTATGTGCATACAAGGCAAGTACTCTACCAACTGAACTATACCTCCAGCCCAATAGCCATTCTTATTGGAGAGAGATGGTATCTCATCATAGTTTTTATTTTTTTTTTTTTTGACGGTGCTGGGCATTGAACC